GCCAAGAGAAGCGACAAGAGTCACGTGGGGGGAAGACGACGACAAAGGCGAAGCTTTTAGGCAGAGGAGGGATCTGGTGGAAGCTTTTACCAGAGACCGCAGCACGGGGAGTGTACTACGAGGGGAGCTCGAGCCAGCGAGGAAGAAAAGGAACGTTTGGTTCGGCTAGGGCTTGCGATTAGAGAGCAGAGAAGGGGTTTGGTTGGAGCCGCGACCGAGAGGAAGAAGAGAGGCTACGGCTCCAGCGTGAGTTTGGTCCACAAATGGGAAAAGAAAAGGGGATCCGTGTGCGTGAGTTAGGGATTAGTGATTTAGGGATTTTAAAATAAGATTTTTTTCTTTTTTGTTAATTTAAAAAACATCAAATTTCGTGTGATTTATTTGTGTGTGGTGCCCTAGCAAAATGAGTGTCCTTCCAAGTTAAAATCAAAATTTCGGATGCGCCGACACAGTCCATTACGTCATCCGAGGTAGTTAAGACACCCTCGTCAACGATCAGGTCAAAAATGCATCGAATTCGATTTTCGTTAAAATTCTGGCTCGTGATCGATCGTTTCAAAAATTTTATCTAAGTTTTCGACAAATAACGGCGCAAGCGATGCGAATTGTTGAAAACATGCGAATTGTGGAAAATGAATGTGTCGACTCTTCAAATTGTGAAGTTTATGCGCGTGAAGGTGCAAATTGTGCATAAGGCAATCCTAAGGCTTAATGACCCTATAGGGACTCCTTTTGGGTTTTCTCAAGTCAGTTTCAACCTCCAAATGCTAGAGGTCGATACCATACATGCGAAACTCCAAAGAGGGTAAAGAAGTAAGTTGGATTTCTAAAATCAGGCGGGTTCCACTTCTAAGGCTCTAATATAGTCAAAAGGAGACCCTAAGGCTTTACCCTAAATCCTAAGAGGAAAACTAGACCTCACTAAAAATGAGGTCAACATTCGTCACAATATATTTTACAGTCGTTGAGCCGTGAACAAGAAGGCATGCAGTCACATCGTCAATAGAGGGAGCAGTAAGAATGTGGCGTCTACGCATACGGTGAAGAAGTTGGGACCCAAGGCTCCAATGCACTCCCAATCATATTCTCTGACGTGGTTGAAGAAGGAAAATAGAGCCAACATTGACAAGAGATGTTTAGTGGAGTTTTCAATTCCAAGCCAGCTGCAAGATCAGGTGTGGTGCGACGCGGTCCCCATGGATGTTTGATATCTTTTTTGTGGAGACGGTGGCAATTTGATCAAAGGACTCAACACGAAAGATTCAGAAAGACCAACTCACTCACCAAGGAGGGGAAGAAGGAGGGGAAGCGCATCATCCTCATCCTGCTTCCTTCAGCGGAGCCCGAGATCACAGAAGATCTTGCCAGCAGAGAAGCATCCGTGGGACCAATTTTGATGATGAAAGAGGATGATAAGACCGAGACATCAACTTCAGACAAGGGACAGCCACGATAGAGAGCATTTCATGATATCACAGTCGATACTATATCAACATGGCCACCACCATTCAAGGAGGTTCAGGTTACTCTCGCTATAGATCAAATCGAGCTAACTATGGAATAGTTTGAGAAGATTTAACAGTATATGTGTGACATGCAGTCCCAAAAGTGTGGAACGAAATGGCTGTTTGCGCGCAAGTTAGGAAATTTCTTAGGTGCCTTGGTGGACGGTACAACCGTCAATGTGATCCAGCGCTACTAGGGTCGCAATCGAAGATCCTTCAGCCCTGTGGATTAGAGCAACTCTGTCACTGTCAACGTGCAGATAAAGCCTTGGACGAATGAAGTCGAAGCTTTCCCAACACCATGAGAGTGATGTGGGGCTCATCTGGGGACTGAACCAGCAGTTGAACTGCAGAAACGACCAACCCTTGGCTAGACGCTAGGGTTGTCGCCCAAGTGAAGAAGGGTCCCCCCTTAGTTATCTACTAGTATTTATATGTAATCTCTTATGTCAAGGCTTAGTTTTTTCTTGTGCTCTATTAGGACAGCCACCGCCATCATATTTTCCCTTCTAGGGTTGTATCTAACTGCAAGAAGGTGCTCCAATTGTATCTCGTCCCGAGGGGGTGTGTATCTTCTTGTTATTGCTTGTTGCTTCCCTTCCCCCACTTGCTACAAGCCTACCTGCACCTCCCCCTACTGCCACTTATCCCTCTCACACCCCTCTGTTCATTTTGTCTGCCTCTCAGTATTCCTCCCCGTGCCAGTTTCCCTCTGCTAACCAGCCTCTTCCTTTCCCACCTCCTTCTATAATCCTACAATATCAAGAAGGTGCTCCAATTGTATCTCGACCCGAGGGGGTGTGTATCTTCTTGTTATTGCTTGTTGCTTCCCTTCCCCCACTTGCTACAAGCCTACCTGCACCTCCCCCAACTGCCACTTATCCCTCTCACACCCCTCTGCTCATTATTGTCTGCCTCTCAGTATTCCTCCTCGTGCCAGTTTCCCTCTGCCAACCAGCCTCTTCCTTTCCCACCTCCTTCTGTAATCCTACAATACTATCCAAGATGTTGTCGTGACTCCCTATGCTCTTTTACTTTCCACACCTGTTGTCGACATACCCATCTTGCCACCTAACCTTTTTCTTATTGCTAAAGCCACACTTAGCCTCCTCCTAATCCTCCCTGCACCTAGCTAGCCTACCACCTCTCCTACTAATCGTCTCCTTGCTGCCCACCGGCGCCCTAGCCGGAGATTTGTGTTGCATGTATTTGTTTGTCATTTATTTCTTGTTCTGAAGAATCTTCATTGTAACCTTTCAAACTTCAGCAATAATATTTATGTTTTCATTTGTGGATGGGGTTACCTCCGGTATCACTTCATCTTCCAGGTAATATGATTAAAAAGAAAAAATTCCTTCAGTATAAAAGAAATTCTTTAGATTTTATGAATTTGTGAAACAAAACAAAGCTTTAGCTTAGGTATAGTACCAAACTTATGATACTTATCTTTTTCTAACTCACACTACGCAAAAGATATTACTACATAACAGATATTCAAGTTAAAGTTAACGGTTTGGATAAACACACGTCAATCTTTAGAGCTATTGTTTGTCTCACGAAAGCAAGAGAATCATATTCATGTTTTTCAATCTCAAGCAAAGGAATTTGCTTTTACTTTCCCTTAATATAACATTCCTTTCTTAAACGAAAGTGATTTTTTTTATATCAGTTATTTTCTCAAAATAAACATTTTCTCCATACTCTAACTTTACATCAATATTTCATTTTTTTTTATCATACAAAGGAATTTCCTTATCTTTGACGATTGAAAAACAAATTTTATCTGCAGAATAAAAGTTACTGCCTATTAAAGCTAGATTCAGTTACATCTAACATTTGAGTAAATATAAAAAGCTAGACATCTTAGCAATCCATCAATTGAGTAAATATAAAAAGCTAGACATCTTAGCAATCAATCAATTTTATGCTACTCATCTCAATGCAAAAAAAGAAAAACAAAAAAAACAAAAAAAAAACTTAATCACATCTAAACCTTGTGATACCGGAGTTAGCCCAAAATCCAATTGGAAAGAAGATTTTATTACTCGAAAATAACAACGTTATAATGAAGACTCAAAAACAGACAAGGAACACAATAAGACACCACAATCCCGCTAGGGCAGGATAGGATGATGCGTGGACAGCGGTGAGAGAGTCTGGAAGATTGGTGGTAAGCTGGAGGAGGCTGTTTAGTGTTGCAGGTATGGCAGCAGAGGGAGAGGGGTTTGCTGGTGCGGCTGGAAGCAGATGGGGGAGCTTACGGTGGTGGAGGGGTCACAAGCTAGAGGTGGCGATGAGCAGGAAGGGAAAAGCAGTGAGTGGGTTAGCAGCAGTATGGGTGACAGGAGGACGGATTTGCAGTGGAGTTCAGCTCGTGGGAGAGGGCCCTGCGGCTGGATGGGAGCAGGTGTGGAAGTTGGGGCTCAGTTGGTCTGGACTGGGTGTAGGCGAGGGGCAGCAAACAAGGAGGAGGAGGAGATGAAGCATTCAGTGGAGAAAATCATCATCTCGGAGCAAGAGGAGGAGGAGATGAAGCATTCAGTGGAGAAAATCCTCTCGGAGCAGGATACAGCCGAAGCACCACCAATCCTCACATACAGCTCTAACACGGGAGAACGCCGAAGATAGAAATCTAAAATCTGAAATCAGAAAAGTAACTAAACCCTAAATAGGAAAACAATGTATTTATAATCGAAGACAACTGGGCGGAACCCCTCCCCTTAACCCTAAGTAAGGTTCGAACAATTCAACCTCCCTACTTAACTGGCTGTCATCTTGCAGAACTCAATTGGGCCGGGTCAGCACCCTAGACCAAACGTCCCCTTTATATTGATTGATATAGAAGGAAGATGATGGAGCAAAAGAATCCAAGGGCATTGTATTTCTTTTTCTGAAATGTCTCCAATAAGACAAAAAAATCTAACATCCCCGTGTTAATATAGTATCCAGAATCATTCAAATGATTAAAAAAAGTCACTATTTCTGTTCTTGCTTATAGCCTATTAAAATCTCGTGTTAACATAGAATTTTGGTCACATTGAAAAAATAAAAAATAATTTTCTAATGGGTCTTAAACTCAGATCCTTATAAATGATACAATATGATAGAAATATACTATTCTATGGACTGCTACAAACTACATAAAATTAGCAAGCGACTTAGCATTCCTATTTCTTTTAAGAAAATAACAAAAACTTGGGCTCAGAGAAGCTCAGTTATGATAAAGTCAGTATAGCATTAGTAAAATTCAAGAGAAGAAAAAAAAAGGACTGCAAAGTGATAATAACAATGAATTTCATTCACCAATACTTCAATAATAAAAACTCACAATCATCAAATAAGAAATAACAAAAAATATAATTTCATTAACCCAATAACAAATACAAACTTCATTAATTTACTTCTTAACATGACAGACGAATTCTAATGCCTACCAAATCTTAGCATCACCAGTTTAACAAGTGAAAATAATCATAAGAAACATGCCGAAAGTACCAATATTCCAGTCAATGCAGTTATCCTAGAAATTACGAGCGGCAGCTTGCTTAATTCATAGTCGTCCTGAATGTTCTTTCGCCTGACACTCTGCTTAATATCTTCAAAAATTCTGTCCACCCTTATTAAATGGATAAAGACAGTAAATAAATACATAATATGATAAAAAAGAATTAGCACGCTTGAACAAAAGAATAAAAGCTCACCACAAGCGCCCTTCTCCATCAAATTCCAGTATGGCCATCAAGATTGCTCTCACACTGTAATAACACTCCTCAACAGCATATTTCATGTACTCATCCCTAGAAGTTCTATCCCATAGTTCATCTTGGGAATCCTTGTATTCAGCAGCAATATCCTTGGCCATAAAAATCTATTTGAAACAAACAACATGAATAAACTCTTGACATTAAAAATTAACATAAAACATACCGCTACACAGAAAAAGAAACATAACTTTCAAAACCAAAGGAATAGTACAATAATAGCACTTTACCTTGCTAGCGAGAAGAAACAAGGGCCATTGAACCAGAGGAATAAATGTAGAATTTTTAGGCATAAGAAGTAAATCCAATTCCCTGATCAGAAGGACAAAAAAAAATTGTATGCTATAAAATTAGATATTTTAGAAAGAAAGGCGTGAATATCACAAAAATTTCAACTTACAAAGTTGTTATATAGTCTTCCTCTCGCAAATTTTTTATAATTTCATTCCAGAACGGTGCAAATCTGGCAGCATCAAACTTCTTTAGCTCCTCAATCTTCACAAATTAAATAAATTGATTAAAAAAATAAGCCACTATTATTAAAATAAATAACACTAACAAGAGAATTTGAAATAAGAAGGGAGCTTAAAAGAAACATTCAACAATTGAAAGGCTATAGCAGAAACAAAGGACCATTTAGAAAGCAACCAAAAAAAATGCAAAAATAACAGTTCATGAGATCATTAGGCAGCTAAGAAGATTGAACTATTAGAGTTAAACGATAGGTTGGTAGGGCATTTTTACATTCTACGACCTTAACCATATAAAACTTCCAAAAGCTCTAATACTTTGCATCAATGTTTTGGAGTTAACGCACAATCCTTATTCAAAAGCTTCTAAAATATCGTGCAGTAGGGTTTTAACTTTCTTGTGTTACAAAATCAAAGTAAATGGCAAAAAAGTACAACCTACATATAAAATTAGCAGTTGCTTGGGATCATTTTTATTTCTTCCATTTTTTTCATTTCTTATATCATTTTCTTTATATTTTGATTTGAAATAAAATATGTTTACTAAGTTAAAATATGTTTTTCATTTTATTGAAAATTGAATAAATTGATTTATCAGGAAGATGGCAATCAGACAATGACAGAAAGGTGATTGTCGTAGCCATCAACAGCACCCACTCAAAAGGGTGTGGGTGATGAGGAAAAGGGTTAGAAAAGTTGTATAATGAGAAAAGAGGGCAAAAAAGTGATGATAGCTAGGAAATAAAGATTTGCTGGCAGCAAGCCGAAGTAGAAAAAACATAGTTTGTCGGTGAAACCAGTGGTGTAGAAAGTTTTCAAAAAGAAATCATCACCTATTATCCAATTATATTACAAGCATACCACATCCAAAAAAAAAGAAGAATAAAACACTCCTAAAGCAAGAAAATCTAAGAAAAAATCCCAACTGGCATAGAAGAAAACAAAAAAACTGCCCAAATAGTATTATAACTCTCCAAGCAATTAACAAAGCACTATTACTAAATCAGAAAAAAAATAAGTGGAGGTCGGCTCACAAAACTAGGCAACTGTAATGTGGCATGGCATGCCAATTGAATTGAAATCCCGGTTTATAGCATTCCTGATCCAGTCCCACTATATCTCCGCATCCTGCGTTATTCTTTCAGGTATTAGAAGCTTCGCCTTCGTCCCTAGGAGCATGTATCCCTGAAGCATGGTGACACAACAGAGATATTGAAGGTTGCATACATATTGTAGTTCAAAGAAGATAAAACTTCTACGCATTGTCATTAATTTTATTAACAATCCTCAATGATCCACCAGCTTTAGGATTGAGTTTTCCACATGTTTTGCAGGAAATCTCTCCTTTAATCTTATCCCATATCACCTTCTTTGAAAACCCTAAGTTTTCTAAATTTGTTAGCTGACTTCTGATACTTGATGTTTTATCTAACAATATTTATTTATACCTGCTCATGTAGGATTTGAATATCCTTGACTCTGACCTCAGCATCATAACTACGATCAGTAACTTAGAATATCAGAACTAACTCCAATGGTGTAGGGGGTTTAGCACCCATATTAACCCTCAAATGAGTTGTGGCTTATCAATTAACAAGTGAATAGGTTGGAAACAAAGACTCCTTGAAGAGGAAAATTCCATTGTCTGATATTCTTGCTCACAATAGTTGACTAGGCTACCTAAGCTTGTAATTTACGACATCTACCTATCCAGACATATGAGAGTGATTGACAAAACTAAATTAAAGCGATGTGCCAAGTTAGCTTTATAGGGTCCTCCAAAAATAGCTCAAAAACTTCACATCTATATCTGAAATGAAGGGCATGGGCACACCATGTAGATGAACTACCGTTCTGAAGCACATGTTCGTAATGTGAGAGGCATTTATCGCCTTTTAGCAAAATATAAAATGTATCGTGTTAGAGAAGCGATCGACCACGACCATTACAAGTCTTTACTCTACTATGCTCTGAGCAAGCACACCACAAAATCCATGCTCACATCTAACTAGGGTGCTCTAGAACGGGAGTAGGATGTATAGAATAGAACTATATCCTCACATCTGAGCCAAATGACATACTCCAAATTGTCTAATACGTTTCTCCACTTCTCACACCAACCTAGACCAGTACACATTGTCTTTTACCTAGGAAAGAATTGTATCCCTGTCAAAGTGTTCTGTCGTGCCCTCATTGTGACACTCATGTCATATTTTCTCTTTGATGAACTCTTGGAATGAAAAGTATGTTCCTGTAGAAAAAAAAAGAATATGATCTGTGGACTATTTGTGCAATGTATACTGGCAAGGAGCCCAAATCTTTTGGAAATCTCCGTTAGTGACACATGCATCCTTTAACACTTCAAATCCAATTGTTTTATTGCATCATACTTATCAGCAAGTGACAGTGACTCAATACTTTAAATAATTGATTATGCCTCTCTGCTTGTCTCTAAGCACAAATTGGAATGAAGATAAAAACTCTACTTAGGAGGCATGCCTCCCCCAAGTTTGCTTTGACAATTAAAAATACTCAAGGTTTCAAGATCCATGTAAAAAGTGAACTCATTTGCCAGCAAATAATGACTCTAATAGCTGAGGGTTCTCACTTACCCTAGATAGAATACTTTCACTTGGACTCATTCAATTTCTCACTAAAGCAAGTAATGAGTTGTCCTCAATAGCTCAATATAGCTCTAATTCTGATATCAAGTATCACACTTAACCTCGAATATGTGCTTGAAAGTCTAAAAGGGCCAGAATAGAGTCCCGAGTATCATGTCGTTCCAGAGCAACAACACTAATATGCACTTCATCTGACCAAGTGAATTGAACTAACTTGAGAAGCTCCATCAAGGGTGCCACTATAGAGCTCAGGTTCCTGATAAACATATTCTAAAAGGATATCAATACATGATATTAGCATACTTGAGTAAACGACTACGAGCTAGACCAACCTAAAATAGCCTTGATCTTCATGGGATTCATCTAAATGTTGGAAGTTTAAAAAATGTAAAAGAATGTCCATGGTGTGAGATAGCCACTTCTTTAGATGATCATATAGCATCTCTATCCAAAAACACCAAACATAAGCATGATAATGACACCAAACATAAGCATGATAAATGCTCCTTCTGAATGGTTTATGCTAAGATGTCTTCAAAGTATACAACAACAATCTTTCAAAAGAAAGCTCCAAAAACCTTATTCATCAATCTTGTAAATATGCTTTGGGTGTTGGACAAGCCAAATGATAGGACCGTTCACTCATACAACTCATCTCGTGTCTTGAAGTTGTCTTTCACTCATACCAAGACCTCATCTGAACTTAGTGATATCTAGTGTGTGATCTATCTTAAAAAGATGCTAGTTACCTACAACTGACCCAATAAGTCATCCAATCTTGTAATGGACAATCAATACTTGAAGGTAATCTTGTTCGTTGTTGTAACATCAATGCACATACATCACGGCCCATCATTTTTTGGCACAATCAAAGCTGGTATGGCACACAAACCGGTGCTTTCACGGACTAGTCCCAAAACCATCAGATCTTCAACTCGCTTTTGTAGCTCTACATACGCTTCTTATCTCATCTAAAAAACTAGTCGATTTAGAAGCATTGATTAAGTGATGATATATATAACAACATCAATCTCTCGTAGGAAAGATAATCTAAATAGTAGGCAATAAGTCAAAACAACATGAAAGTCCTCCAATAGAGGTTGCATTGCCTCGAGCATCAGCTTTGTTATCTCAGTGCCCTTCAAAATCACCAAATCTAGTCCAACTAGAGCTTCTCTCATGACATATGGAAATGCAGCATGAGACATTGTAACTCTTGTCCCCATCTAAGTACTCATCACTGTTGATTCTTTCAAATGTAGAAGCACAATATGCTTCTCGTCAATAGTAAACAAGTAGGTGTTTTGTAGCCATCATGAAATATATTGCTATCATGCTATAACAACCCACTCAAAATAATATGAAATGCAATCATAGACACGAGATCACACCACATGTTATCTTGCAGATTGTTTCCAGTTGAAAATTCTACTAGATACCTTCTGTTAATAATAATCTTATTCCCTTCTACAACCAAGTCAACGAATATAATTGAGAATGCTTCAAGAGAGTAAGACTTCATTTGTCCACCATTTATGTACATGCTACATTCTCAAAACTACATTCAACAATAATGAGATTGCACACTTTTCATTTCACAATGCAATGGTTTTTATGTTGGATCAAGTTGTGATCTACCATTTTTCCTCTTGCAAAAGCAAACATTTCAGATTCTCCTATCACAAGGAATTACTACTCTTTAATTTGATAGCAAGTAACTTCACTTTCTTGTAGGTTAAACATCCAAATTCTCAAAAGACCCATTTCATAATATAGATTCACTCAATAAAATTATCTGGATCTATATGGTCATCAAAATCCGAAAAAGTAACCTTTACACCAAAATCATTATCCCTCCAATGGTATTCAATGTCAAACTATCGGGGCCTAAGTTCATCAACAAAAATTTCCTGGTGGAAGAGGTTGCCTTTCTTCTGATCCAACATGTATGAGTGAAATCTCTAGGTTATCTTCTCTCAAAAGCGAAAAGTTTTTATTGTAGTTGGAGGAGCTCCCTTTACATGTTTTTCGTTGTAAGCAATTGGACACATCTTTGCATGCTTCTTCTCGATGACATGGCATCCTTTTTCTCCCAATTAGAGTTTTAGCTGATAAGGAGGATGTGACTTAGGGTTAAGGATGCAAGGTGAAGGGATGATTTTTATGGAGGTATAAAGTTAGGCTATGTGATTTTTAAGGTTAAGAGTGGGAAAAAATTCATAGAGATTTAGAGTTAATTGGGCTCAGATACCAAATAACATTGATCTAGGGTTGTTAGACGATATGGGGTGAGGAAGAAATGGGTTTCGAGAAGTTGTAGGATGGAATAAGTAAACTGCTGGTCCATAGCAAAATCGGTGGCATAGGAGGTCACCAAACATCTGGAAGAGATCACCATATTCTCAAATCAAGTTGCAAGCACATCACCTAAAAAAATGGAAGAATACAGCACTCCAAAAGTATGAAAACCTGATAAGAAATCACAACTACCAAAAATAAAAACCCAAAACTATACAAACAGTCAAAGCCAACAAATATATAATTTCTAAAAAAATTAACTAATACCAATACTAAATCAAGAAAAAAGAACTTTAAAGGTAGCCATTGACCCACAACCCTAGGTAGCTATAATGTGATCCACTAGGCATATTGAACTGGAATCCCAATTTATGGGATTCCCAATCTCGTTCCGCTATAGACCTGCATCCTCCATCAAGTGGTGGTAGTGCCTTTTTTTAATACATAAAAGGCCAAAAAGCTATTTTGAGTTTTTTTAAAATATAAAATAAAAAAGATATAAAAATGTTAGAAACAAAAAATATTTTTAAAAACCAAAACAACGAAATAAGTAAAAATAGAAAATTAAAAATAAAAAATAAAAATAATCCTAAGGAGTCCCTTAGTAATTACTGTTAATTGCAACAATTACAAATTACAACCACCAACATGTATTTTGAAAATGTATCTTGAAGTTTCACACTTTAAAGAAAAAAGAATAGAAAATGTTAAGTGCCGGTTTGAGTTTTCCAACTCGACGAAGAAATTTGCAAAATAAGAACAAGTTCGAGTTGTTCCAACTCGATGGAAGAATTTGTATTCACATCACTTTCATATAGGTTAACAGAAGGTTCATGAGTATCTTGTAGACGGGTGGGTCAGATTTCATACAAGCTAATTGAAGGCTCATGTGCTCTTTATAGATGGGTAGGTTAGATCAAGAGGATTAGAAGACTTTTACAGCTGCAGTGTTGCAAGACACCAACAAAGTGCAAATTATGAGTACATGGGCAGAACAGTACTCCACTTGATACCCCGTAGGAGGAAGAAATGCTTGGAGGCTGCCAAAATTTTCAGTGATTTGGACTTCCAAAATGACTTCAATTAGAATAATTGAACTCAATAATATAAGAAGTGAAATTTTCCAAATAATTAAGAAAAATTATCACAGTTAATGATAATAAAAGAATACATGCATTGATTTATAGAAGGCTCAATAACGCACTAATGATTAAAATAGGGCCTTCCCAATGAAATTTTAATTCATCATTGAATTTTAAAATCCTAGATTTAGTATAAATAATAACCAATATGAAAATTTTAATAATTCATGAGCAATCATCACCGGATCAACAACACTCACATAAGCAGACATAAGGCATTGTTTGATTTTAAAAATTAAAAAATGCAAGTGATCTAATGATCAAATATTCACACAAAAGACTTTACTAAAGATAGTTTTAAAGTTTTATTTATTTTTACAAAAATAATATTAAACTCAAAGCACATAGTCTTTAAAGATAATTATAACCAATTCAGTCATATGTGCTCCAACCGGTAAAACTTTGAATTATATAGTCTAAGAATGATGCGTGATATAGCTTCAAATAAACTTTAATTCACATATCTATTTTAATTAATGTGCTAAACACACACATAATCTAAGAATGTTGCCCAAGTCAAAATTAAGTTAAATTTACAATTTTCTTGCCATGAGATGCATACAAATCTCTTTTTTGAAAAACGCCTATGAGTATTTTAAAATTACGAACTCTTTATTTCAAAAAGTAAATTCAAGCTAAGCAAATTAAAAAATAAAAATAAAAATGAAATGGACGCCTACCATCTTTTGTTATGGAGACCGTGTCAAGATAAATACTACCATCTTTTGTTATGGAGACCGTGTCAAGATAACCGCGACATGATGGATATAAAAACACCTACTTTATCACTAAAGTTGATCGGTGTATCGTCCTTCGGCGAAGTCTGAAACCATAGGTTCCCTAGTAAATAGAGAAGAATCGGTGGGATCAGTATTGGAGACAATAGAGGATAATGGGACTGAGGCACCAATTTCAAGCATGAGACAGCCACGGTAGTGAGCATTTCAGAACATCACAATCAATACCATACTATCATAACCACCATCATTTAGGGAGGGTCGGGTTAATCTTACTTCAGCCCAGATTGAGTCAACCTTAGATTACTGATACACGAAAAATATATGCACATATATTTTATACTAATTTTTGGTGATATTACACTTTAAAGGAATGTATTTTTTATGTTTTTTTGCAGGTTGTTGATTTTTAAGACTTGAAGCAAAACGGAAGCAAAAAAGATGAAATTTAGAATTAAAATGACATTTTTGATGAAATGTTCAGCGCCAAGAGCAGTGCCGATGCCGCAGACGGACGGAACAGATGGTGAATTTTACTCAGCGCAGACGACACCAGAAGCAGCGTCGACGGTGTCGTTTGACAGAAATCAGTGAATTAAGTTGCGGAACACTGGCACCGACGGCGCCAATGTCGGTTCAACCCCTGTTTCTAGAAGATTCGACGAATTTGATCGCTTTTTGAAGAGTTTTTGGACGATCCTATTGGAGAACATTTATCAGGGCTCAAAATTGATCAAGAAAGTGACTCTTCCTGACATCTCATCGTCCCAATTCAATCTTCTACGCATCACACATTGTTCCATTTTTCATTCAACAACCATTTAGAGTCCATTGTTCTTACAATTTAGAGTTTTGTGGAGAGTTAAGTGTGAATTCTTCTCTAAGAGTGTTTGAGAAGGAGAAAAGAGAGATTTCTTCTTCCTATATTTCTTAGAAGATGCTACAAGGGATTTGCTTTGAGAAAGAGCTTCAGATAAGTGTTGTTTTTTGTTTATTAGTGTTGTATGATCTTTCTTTATATATGAAATTTGTGTTTCGTTGTATCTTTCTTATGAAGTGTGGGTAGTTTCCTTTATCTTTGTCCTTACTCTGAGATATGGTAAAATGAAGAGATAATTTGGATGTGCAAATTTTAAAATATAAAATAAATTGTGATGAGTTTTCAACTCTGTTGTTAATTTTTTTTTGATTTGGGAAATTGAAATGTTAAAATATGCTGTTAAGCATAGGATCCACAAAATGTAGTATGAGTTCTACAACAGAGTGAGAATCAAATTTAATTCCATGGAGTAGTATTTCGTTCATGGAATTAAATGCAAATAAATAGGGAAATATACATTTTTGGGCATAGAATTGGAGATTTTAGGGTGACAAACTCGATCTTAGTATATAAGAACTAAAGCCAGAGTTAGCCTTCAGGTGAAGGGAAGTGGGAGCTCTGGGGTGAGAGTCAGTATCTTCCTAGGTTAGCCACGGATTTAGGGACTAAACCTAAGATTAGCCAATGATTTTCTATAACACTGTATCAAAGTAGAGAATTAAAATTGTTCTTATTTGACACAATACATATTTGAACCGTTTATCTCATCTCATTTTACCAAAACCTCATTGTAATGGGAAAGATGATTTTTCACATAAGAAATCTTTATCACATAAAAATAATTTAATAGTTTAGTAGTTACTATTTAAACTTTTTATTTCAGTTTTGTTATTGGTTAAAAAATTTAGTTCTGATAATATCTTAACATTCAAAATTAGTGACAGTAATTTCGTTTTGACCTTCTGTGAATTTCCTAGTAAATTTATCATTTCAAATTTAAAGTTTCCCCGTGAGATCGATATTTGGGGTTAAATAGAAAGTCATTTATTACTTGATAACGATACTTATACTTACGTAGAATCCCAACATTAATTGCTTAAATTTCTTATCCATAAAATATTGCATCAAGCTTTTGGCACCATTGTTTGTGTTTGTTATTACTTATTCTTGTTCTAAGAACCCATTTATTGTAGTTTCCTGTGTTTCTGAATTTACATTTTTCAAGCCGCTGCAATTTTGTTTACCTTCGGTATCATGATGTGATGAACATAATAATGTAACTAGCAAAATTAGGCGCAATGGCTTTGACTCCAAAGGAAACTTTAAATATGGCTCCAAATTAAAATTGAAAATCTGATCTAATGAAAGAAGATCATTAACCATAGTGATTGAAGGTAGGAGCTAATCTTTTGTGAATATACCTTGTATATGAAAGTTTAAGCACAAGACATAAAACACATAGAGCAATTGTGACAAAATAATTTGCTAAAGAAGTAACAACAGGGATGTCTTCAAATCAATCTTCTGCTAGTATCCACAAAATGAAGAACCAATCCATAACTCCTTTAACCTGAGTAGTAACTTCCAATTTGCCCTAAACAATGACCACAACTGGCCCAGATAAACGAAGAGTAGCAGCATCGACAAGTGAAAGTTTAACATAAATGGAACTCAAAAAATGTAAAGTGGACTGGTTGAAATAATCCAAATGAAACCGAAGAAATACAACCAACACAAGAGTGATAGGTGGTTGAATTATGGGAAACCATTTCAAAATTAGCATCATATAGCGACTCTAATTCGCCCATAATCTTTGTTGAAGTTTATGGATCATGATTAATATGATCCAAATTATTTTGTTTATATTTAGGATTTGCAAAGCCTTGATAAACGAGAGAACCAAATTTATAGATAGAAAGAACATTTGTAGCATTTAAGCTCGTACAATTAATGCCAAAATTTGAAAATGGTAATATTCATAATCAGATAATCATGATTAATGAGTAATTTTGATCAACATAAATCAACGAAAACATTTTGAAAACTGGCAACGAAGTAGGCCTAAGTTATGTGAAAAAGAACTAGGGTGAAAAATGTAGGATTTGCAAAAGAATGAACCTACAGAAGACTCCATATCCTCAAAACCCGGGTACAATTTACCTTGTAAATTCTTTTTTTTTCTAGAAAAAGGCTAAATTCATTGAAATACTACGTGCAGCAAAGCAGCCCTGCTTTCAACATAATAACTAGCATTAACGATGTCTTAAAAAACAAGGTAGCAATTGATTTCAAATTAACATGGATTTGCAGTCACCTGGCCAGACGTATTCAGCTCCTTCCTGCACAATATTAAGAATGGAATTAGGATGGAAAATAATAGGTTAAAAAAAGAACCCAATGAGAATTTAAACAAGCTAATTGTACCTTCGTTGCAGGGATACATGAAGTTTATCCATAAATGCTGAAGGAAACTCCTCAAACAATTTATGAACAGCATCCACAGATCTGATCTAAAAAGAGATGAGGAACAAGGATGAAGATCAATAGAGTTGTCACACTATGTGATGAAACCAGAGAATGACAGAGCAAATCAAATTTTGCGAATTAAACAAATTGATGACCACATCATGATAACATATCAAGAGTGATTTGATCAAAACCATTAAATATCGCTAATTCGGAAGCTTTATTAAAAAAGTTATAAAGCCACAAACAATTCACCAGAAATTTTGTCAAAAACAGTAAAGAACATTCTGTAAATTCTGAAGAAATAAGAAAGAGGCTTTAAAATTATTAAAACAACTCAATCCCATTTCCATCAACTTGTGTGGCATAATGAGTAAAAAATAATCCCAGAAAAAAGAAAAGGAATTTATACATATGCTTGCCTAGAAGTCTGAATTTGCAAATGTAACACAAGACAAATTTGTACATGAGTCCAAATCAAATGCATTAATTTATTGATTAAATGTCAGAAGCACCTGTTAAAGCCTGACAACAACATTTTCTAATTCAAGAGCACTTACCTCTCCCAAACGGTCCCTTGCTCCAAGAAGAAAACCATAAACAGCTGAAAATACAGTGTAGAACAACTGAATATCTAAGAGGTAAATCTGCAAAAGCAAACAAACAGGAAAAAAATAGAGAGAATTGGTGAAAAACTTCCTGCAAGAAGTTTTGATAAGATCAAGTAGAGTGAAGTACAGTGCAATGCATCTCAATCATCAACCAACAGTAATGCAAAGTATTATGATTTCTTAACAATACTCACACAGAAGACCGGTGCCCATAAACTGAGAATTGTAATTGCATTGTGATTATCTGTAAAGTTGTTTTATGAAAGAAAGGAAGTTAGGCGAACATGGAAAGATGAATTAAACAAAAATGATGAATAAACAAATTTATTAAAGCAGCTTGGCAGGCAGTGCAGGGGGCTTGGTTCTCTAATTCACAAATCCCGCATAGCCGTTCTTGTTTTTTTCAATAATAAGCAAGACAATAAATAACGTATTTGATTGAACTTTAAAAGATGTCAAAAAGAAAGGATCACTCCCCCATAAAGCATGTCAAAACTGCTCTAATGATAGAATGGCAGATAAATCAGAATAGACTATTATAGATATAATGCATATCTGAAATTCTTCATTCAACGAAAAAGCAAATAGTTATTGGTAACGTTTTGTTTTAGTTTTGTAGCTTTGTATTTTATTTTTAGTTTTGTAGCTTTGTATTTGACTAATCATGCCTATGATGTTAGTACCTATGAGATTGATAGGTAGTGTGTCCTCTAGCATTTCGATTACTTCACACTATTCAGACCAACCATTTCCCAGATCAATCCAATACACTATTTTAGGACGCAGTGAATCCTCAATGTTTTTTTAATCAAACAATTTGAAGATTTACTACTTGATGAAGGTATTGGCACTACTGTTGAGGTTGCTTTGGTCGTCCGCTAGACTGCGACTAATAGATCATTGTTGGTGGTGTGCTTCACATTCAACAAGTGCATGAACTTTGTTGCTTTCAGTTTGTAGTACCACAGTTCTTTTCTCGCAATACATTAGTGGCATGGGCGTCCTCCTTCAGGTGGGCCCGAGACAAAAAAGCAAGCCCAATAAGTGGAGGCTGTGGCTGGTTCAGGGCTTGCCACTGTCCAAGGAACCGGTTGGCACCTTAAATGCTTTCTAATTGCTGGTTTATGTCCATATTAGGGTTAACTTTGTTTCTTAAGCTATTTATTTTGTTCAAAACCTGTTTTGGGACTTGAAGTTTTGTAGCTTACGCACTTCAGAGCTTGGTTCTCGAATTTCTCTCAAGTTTAAGAGCTATATCCTCTTCCATTTCAAGCATTGGCACGATCTGAAATGGGTTGTGGATTCTCCTCAACACCTGTACCCCACTATAACTGCAGGCCACACTTTTACTCTATGATTTCCACAAAACAGCAGCAAAAGCCCTTCTTACTCTCCAAATCCCTTTCATTTTTCAGGTTTCCTCATTATCTTACAAATACTCACAAGGCCATCTTTACTCCCTGTACATCAACTACAAAACTTAGATCGATGTCGTCATTAAAGTCATAGAAATCCTAAATCTTTAGGGATTCATTGATCGCAACACCAACCCTAAAATGCCTTATTTTACCTTTAATGAAACCCTAATTGGAAGGAATCCATCATGCCACCAATTAAAAATCATCAATGAGATGTTCAAGAGCTTACCATAGAAAATATGAAAGGAGACTCCTTCAGTTGCAACATCAACTCGCTAATTTTGAAAGAAGACAACAAAGGGAAATCAGTCATAGCAACAACATTGACCAACATAATAGGCGCGATGAAAAAATCCCTTTCACCAAAAAGCTTCAAATGATGAAGAGTGAATTAAAAGTTTACAAATTCTAAAATTATTATTTGAAAGGAATAAATGATGTTTTATAGTTTGTCACTAATGACACTACGGCTTGGCTCAAAAATTCAAAAACACTTAATTCTGGTTTTTTTTATTTCTTTATGCAGTCCAGCCATTTATGTATTAGTGAACATAAGATCCTAATATTTATATCAAAATCGTATCAAGGATTATCGTTGCATGTCAACTCAGGTATGATTGAGTTGAATCAAAATGGCTAGAAGTTAGATTCAACAGATCAATTAATTGATAAATAAAGGGATGAACTTTAATGAATAAATCAATGATTTTTTTCACAAAACTAAAACAAACACAAAAACATATGTAATCAAATCTAATCCTATCGAAGAAATTAGAGAATATGAATACACTTTAGAAAATGATTCGATGCAAAAAATGTTTATTGAATTTGAATATACACATCTAATAGAACATATTTATAAACATGATCTACAGTTGAGAAAAATTAACAATTTGGCTTCGAAATTAAAATTGATCAGGAGGTCAATTAAGAAACAAGACCATGATTGACAACTGAAATTGAACCTATCATCAGCAATGCTTTAAAAGGTGTGGCTATGGGCAGGGCATTTTAGCAGTTAAGGGGCGGGGCATAAGCCCCAATATATTAAAAGAAAATGAATATAAATATTAAGAGAAAATAAAAATAACTAATTGTGCTGAATAACAAAATTATTGTGCTTACACATTAAAGTTAAAAAAAATTCAGGTAAAAATAGTGAAATACTATTGCTAAAGTGAATTTACCAAAGCCATGGTTAAATTATCGCAGCTACACTGAACTTATTGTAGCTAAACTGATTCCGTATAAAACCTTAAAAATCGTGTGAGTTTTCATCACTCAATAAATCAAGTTGCAGCCTACGGGAGAGAAACCCTGCGAAAGAGATGCGCTGTGCGGGAGAATAGAAGAGCATTTGCGGGAGAGGTGAAAAGCATCTCCAGGAGAGAGGAAGCGAGACGGTTGCGCCGTCTGTCGTGGAAACGTCTGTGTGCGACATTGTTTGCATGCGAGCGATGATGCAACGGCTGATGTGGGAGCATCTTTGTGCAACTTTGAACAGGCGAAGAGGATGATGCAACAGGTTTCTGTGTGTGGATGTGGAAGAGACGAAATGGAGTAAAAGACTGCGGGACTTTTGTTGTGGTGTGTGTGGAAAATTAGGGAATTTTTTCTCTTTTATGTACCTAAACAATGAGACGTATGCCCCAGTGGGGTGAAAATTGTGCCCTAAAGGCATATATGGCTATCCGATGTGTAGGCCCATGGGGATTGCACACACACACACCCCCACCCAAACCGCCCGTGGGCTCGAGGAGAATGGACTTGCGCCACGCCCCTAGACGCGCCCCATTAACACCTCTTAACACAGAGCTCATCACATATGAGCTCAAATTGAAATTAAAATCTTATTTCAACCTAACTACAAGCATGAACTTCCCCTAAAGATCCTTGAATCTGAACCAAACTTCTAAAAGCTGTGGAATATGTTATTGAATGCGTAGATAAACAAATCAACCTACAATAGTTTAAAAAAATAGAACGATTAATTCAGCAGTCATTCCTAAATATGAAGCTGAACAAAAAAAAGCTACTAAACTTGACAGATGAATTAATTTTCTTAACCATTGAAGAAATTTATGGTGAAAATCATATCTCAAGCAATACAGGCTGACCGCCCTTTTGGTTACTTGGTTCTTGAATTTTAAACTCAGGGGCTTATAGAGAAGTTAAAAATTCCATAACTACTATAATCAATAGGTTAAAAGTACGAGCTGACCACACTATTAATTACTTGGTTATTAAATTTTAAACTCAAGGGCTTATAGAGAAGTTAAAATTCCATAGCTACTTTAATCAATTTGTTAAAAGCCAATGCCTTCACACACAAAAAAAAAAAAAAAAAAAAAAAAAAAATCATACTTTTAATTATTATTTATCAAAATGAAGGTAAAAATGCATAAATTATCGTCAATAATATTATGTTTTTTTTCAAGAAATTTTATTAAAAGAGTTGTTCATCAATATAAGCATATAATACTTGAGGGGGACTGCCAATTTCTAATTTTCCTTATCATCCCATCAACTAAGAATAGGCTATAAATCAAAAGGTGTACAAGGTGGTTTGCAAACTGAAAAAATTAAGGCAATGGTTTCCCAAATTCCGAATAGCAAGTACGGGACAAATATTGACGTAGCACGGCTGTCCGGGATGATGGCAGCTCAAAAAAAGGATAAAAAGCAACATCAGCGAGAATAGATAACTGGAATAGTTATGTCAGCTGTATAGAGGGCTGGAACAGTTGACATGGTAAATGGGAAGAGCTAGAACAGTTGTGCCAGTGAAAAGGGAGGGTTAGAATGACAATGGTGGATGCGGTAGACCGTTGGGCAGCAAAAGGAAGGCTTCCTTGGACGGAGGCAGCAAGGAAAAGGGCTGGAAAGTGAAGAAACTACAAGAAAACAACGAAAGAGTTGTTGTCAGAGAGGACTACAGCGATGAGGACGGTGTGTGATGCGGGGGCTTGGGGGCTAAACCGTCGAAGGGTACAACCGGCTTAGCAGAGTGTAGCAGAAGGCCAATCAAAACCTTGCTTGGGGTTAGGGTTGCCGCCCAAAGGAAGGGATCTCCCCCTCCTAGTTATCTTCTGTATGCATGTATGTATATATGCATTTTCTTGCGTTAGTGTTAAGTTTTCTTGAGTGTTTCCATCAGACAGATGTCGGCATCCCCTTTTCCTTCTTAAGGTTGTATCCAACAACAAGAAGATGCTTCAGCTGCAAATCGTCCCAAGGTGGCGCATATCCTTCTTTTTATTCACCTTTTATCCTTGTTGACATCTTCCAGTCCCCCACACCTTTCCTGAATTCCCAACCACCAACCCCTCGAACCTATTAGGCAGCCATCGCAATCCACACTTCCCCCTTAATACTGTTACCGTCAAACCCTCCCTGCCCTTCTACGGTTGTCGTCCTTCCAGCTAGCCCACCATGCCCCCTTTCTCGTCAAAACAAGCTGCACCAACCATATGCAACCTCCTTCCTCGTTACCACCCCAAGGTCGACCAACCTCCTTCCTCGTTACCAACCCAAGGTCGACCAACCTCCCCCTGCCATTAGGGATGTAAATGAACCAAACACGAAAGAACAAAGCTCGTGTTCCTGTTCCGTTCGTTCGAAATTAAATGTATTTAAAATAGGTTCCTATTCGATATTCGTGAAGTTACTATTCGTGTTCAGTTCGACTTGCTTGAATTTAATTCTAAATAACTGAAAAGTTTGAAATATTTGAATGTTTGAATTGTTTGAAATCTTTCAAATTTGTTTGTATTGTTCGAATTGCTTATATTGTTAAAATGATAATAAATTTAATTATTCATTCTCA